TTTTGCTTGGAGACATCTTTCTTCGAAAAAGTTCAGTATGTAGTTTCAAGTGTCTTCTATACTTTCATTATAAGACCTAGCTATCGGCGTGTCGCCTGCGAATAAGTCTAGGGCAAACAAATTGGAGGTGTTCGACGATCTTACGCGATCTAGGTCCTATTGACTGATGACTGAAAGCGAAGCTCATGTCGAGATTTTAAGGGAAGCGCATCTCCGAATATAAGTGCATCCCTAATACTAAAACACGAGAATCCATCATACTCATATATATTTGGATTAGCCACTTTATTAGCTTCGCCCAAGAAAGATAGAAAAAGAAGTGGAATTGGAATCAAATTTCGCAGACAATATATGGAGTCGGGAGTGTGTTGATAAGCCATTTCGTTCGAGACACACAGATTGCTTCTATCGCCTTATTGATTTTTTGCAGTTTTTGCCTTGAAAATTTATGTTTTCTCAAAAAGGCTAGAAAGAGTAATGCAATTAGCACCAGATTTGGATACATAATCCATAGGGTGGGCTGTGTTAATAAGCCATTTTGTTTGGGCAGGGACGATTTATTATTCTGCAGCCTGCGTAATATAGTTGCTTATGTTATAATATAATGTTGAATCAAGATGAACTGTTTGGGTTCATCCATACTGCGCCGCAGGCAGCGGCAGGCTGCGGCGTACGAAGCCTGCTGCGTCTGGCAGTCGCATGTTAAAACAAGGTAACAGAAAAGAAACCTGCAACTCTAAGCGAACACTCCATAGAAATCCGAACGAGCATAGAAATATAAAATACCGTGAAGCGGCGATGGCATAGGCGTATTCTTGATGCGACTGCAGCGGCGCACGCCGCAGGACGCGCAGGCTGCGGCGTAGTATGAAGGAACCCTTAAAGCCGAAAGCATGTCCTTAGTTTTATAAAATGTGCAGGTTATAAATCAAAGTGATTGCAAAATGGCAAATCTTCACATTTCCCCAATATGGAACAAAACGAAAGATTCACGAGGCGCGAAGCTGCCAAGTACCAGTAGAACCTGCCGTAGCGGCAGGGAGCGGCTGGTATTTATATAATACGAGCTGGCTTTCCGGGTTCCACCCCGGTCCGAAGACAGTCCATCGTGTTTCACATTTATGTAGCGGATAGCCTTGTATTGGATTCATTCCTACCACGATGGACTGTCTTCCGACCGGGGTGGAACCCCTTGATGACGCAGATTAAAATGAGCCTCACCGCTCATCCTTCATGACTATGGGAAA